CCCCAAAACCCCAAAACCCCAAAACCCCAAAACCCCTATACAAAATTTCACCTTGAAATATATATAATAAAATGAAAACTTTAAAAAAGATCTGAACATGGATTTGGCCAGCAGTGGTTGTTATAGTGATCTTGTGTGCGCAGGCGAGTGGGTGAGTGCGATTTGGGTGAGCTTATAGGGAAGGAGATGTGCAGAGTGGGGATGAGGAGAAGGATGGGGATTATAGATCGGCATATTTTGTAGAAGATGGGTTGGGAGGTGAGGGGAGAGTTTGAGATTTTGTGCAAGTTGAGAGATTTGGAGATAAATTTTTTTGTTTAATTAAACAGACGTCGAATTTGGGAGAAAAAGTAGTTATATGCGAGTATACATCTACTTCTGATACTTTCAAAAACTGTCATGAAATCTCTCCTAACCTCCCTCCAAACTCCCAGCTCCTAAGCTTGGTCCCTACCTCAATGGCCGTAGTTTCCTCTACTTCCAAATCCCTACTACTCTTTAGCAAACAATCCACGATTCCTTCCAGCTCGATGATACTATACACATACACTCTAGGAAACCCCGAAGACAGCGAATCCCTATTTCAACGGTAAGTGGACTAATATCCCTGTTTGTTTATAAGCCGCCAATTTTGTGGCCTGGCTGGGGATTTTCGGAATTTTTAAAGAAGAAAAAGGAAATTCTTGGGCCTTTAGAGCCAAAGGTGAGGGAAGGGGAAATTTTGACGATGCAAGGGGTAAATTATACTTTGGATTTGAGATTTTTGAAATTTTTTAGGTATTAATTAGGTTTTAGACTTTTTGATCTAACTTAAACTTTAGGGTTGAAGAAGAACTTCCTATTGATGATGGAGATGATGGACCATATTTCATGAATGATAAGAATATATATTTCTTATCTAATTTTCATACCTCTGGATCATCTCTGGTCAAAATAGATAAGGATACAAAATCACAGTCAAGGATTGAATTTTTACCGGATAGATGCAGGATAAAGAAGTTCATTGCGTTTGATCCAGAAAATCCTTATTCATTGGTAATCCTCTTAGACTTGAAGAGTTAAGAGTGACTTAAATCTATAGGTCATATCAGAATCTAATCAAGACGTTGAAATAATTGAGATATCAAATCGAGACTCCAGCTACTCTATTAAGGACTCCCCATATTCCCCTTTCCTCACCTACCATACCTTATTCACATGCCCAGAAATCTCAACCTGTAAACTTGGAGACGAAATCACCTGGGTCAGCTACAAAGAGTAAGTTAACCCCAACCTCTCCAAACCTCCAACCCCCTCCTTCTCACCTCCTTCCAGCCCAACCAAAAGCCAGCCTCCTACCACAATCTTCCTAATGCTCCAGTATGACCACCGCAACAGCACTTCCCCTTCCCTACTATTCACCAGCTACGTGTACTTCATCACCCTCAAAATCACCACTGACTCCTCCTGCACCAACGACTGCTTAAGCAAGAACAAACTCGTGGCTGACTGAGGGAATGTCCTCAGGACCAGCACAAATGCTGGTAAGTGACAGAGTAATAGGTTTAGAGGTGAGAGACAGTAGGATGGATATTAACGGACATATGGTGTATGGAGTGTATTTTGATGTGGAGTATGACAAATATGTCATGTTTCAGTATGATATTAGTGCAGCAGAGTTTTTAGAGAAGATGTTTGAGATTGAGAATAAGTATAGTATTGTTCATGTGTATGGTGGAAAGTAAGTTTTGAGGGGTTTTAGTGTGAACATTTTTATAGTATCTTTACTTTTGGACAGTATGATAGCAGTTGAGGTATTGCCAGAGTGAATGTTGGTAAGTTTAATCCTGTTTTTAGCTTTATATTTTACTTTTCAGTAATGAGCAAGTCATTTCTTTAATTTTTGAACACCAAAATCAAAATTTTAGATGAAATTTCCAAACATCAAGATTTTGAAGAAGTATCAACAAATGAGCAAAGGAAATTTACAAATTTAATTCCAGAGCTTAGTTGTTCGTCTATCCCAGATACTCTAAATCAAAAATTAAGAAATTTGGATACAATTTATGAAAAATCAAGCCCAACTCCAGAGAATATAAACGAAGATATTGATTTATCACTGGAAGACAAAAGGGAATTAGGTATAGTTTCTTCTGAAGAAGCCGATCTTGAGCTAGTAAGCTCCTTAATCCCAACTTATTTCTAGTACTGTCTTGGAAGCTACACATGTTCATTTGATGATGTTAACAAAAGTTACCCCCTGAATATCAGCCAACATCAAACGTAAGTTTATCTGCAATCTTTATATAGCTCTCATGGCAATTATTGAATGTCTTTCTGATATGACAGATGTGAGCTTGACATTAGATACAAATTAATTCCTCTCAGAGATAACTTACCACATGGAGAAGCTCAGCTCACAGAAATAGGTATCTCAGTGTTAATTTGAGTCTATTGATTGTTAATGATTTCTTTTAGGGAAAATATTTTTCGTTTTCTATAAATCATTTAAGTTCCTTTTTAATATACTTAAACTTCCTATAGCTAAAATTGATGAAAAAACAGGAAAATTAAACATTACTAATGAGAATCTTACTTTAAGACTTAGAAGTTTTGTTGGAAGAATTGGTAAGTCTTAATATTCATTGGATTTATTTCTAAGAATCCCTTCGCACAAATTTGTCTATTGTCAGTTAAAATTTAATAACGATATAGAAATCCTACTTTTTTTCATTCCTAAAATCTTTATCAAATCTATTTTCCCAAAGTGCATCACCTTTTCATTCAAAGAGGTTCTCTACTAAAAAGGTGAAATAATATTCCAGACCTATCACAAATTCACTTCTAAATTTTCACAATCAAATCGAATGTTTATCTACCTTTATGGACAATTGGCTAAATTAGAGAAATATTCTTGGGCAAGACACTTCTTTCCATAAAATATCTAACCTGGCAATTTAGAAGCAAGTATCGTTGGTGCATCGGCTTGTGGGCTTTTTCACAGCACTGTTGTTATCAATGAGACTCAACTTTACGAAAATTATGAGGCAGATATAGATTATGTTGACACTTATTATATCCTTCAAGGAATAATCCTCGTCTTAGGAATATTAATTGCTCTACTTGCATGGAAGCCACTCACAAGTGTATTTATTGTAATTAATCAGCAACAACTGATCGTGCTGCTGATGCTGATTGACATACATATTCATCCTGAAGTTAGAAACTACATGTAAGACTAATTATTCGTATTTTATAAGAAACTTCAGCCTTTAGTAAAAAATTAAGATAACCATTGAAATCTAAAAGATTATTCCAATAGCCATAAAAATACCCCCTTTCTAAACATAAAAACTCCCCACCTCCAAAAACCAATCTACTTCATTCTTCTCTACAGCGTCAGAACAAACATAGCCCTGCTCGACTTCGAATTCGCCGGCTACAGACTCTCCCACTTCTTCGGCCTCAAATCCTCCCTCCAACCCCACGAAGAGAACAAGCAAGTGATCCTTCGCTACTTCGGCTACAGCTCTCCAAGCATGCTGTACACGAACAAGAACTTGTTCTTGTTCGTAATGATGGTGATCCTAATCCAGTTCATTTTCTATGTGCTTCATTTATTATTGAGGTTTTGTCAGAGTAAGTGCAAAAATTGGTTATTCTTAGAATAGATAAAGGTCAATTTATTAAAGAATAATCCATGTTTAGGCATCCAGTTAAGGAAAAGAAAAGGAGAAAGAAGTCAATTAAATGCAGATAATAATAACAAAAAGCAAAAGAATAGAAATGATATAGATGAAGATAACTTTAAAAGCCTTGCCCAGAATTCAGAGCAAAGCCAAAATATGGAATCAATCGGTAAATTTTAACCCCACCATCTAGCCTCAACAATCCGAAGAGGAAGACCAATCACCCCTTCCAGCAATGATATCCCACCAACCTCTCCCACCCCATCCAATCCCTCTTCCCTCTCCAAGGCCTCCCTCCTCTCTTTCAGGGTAAGCCCACTTATCTCCTTCCTCCTTCCATTCCTTTCAGTGGCCCAACCCTCTAACCTTACCCACATAGAAGTCCAACTGGAAGTACACGAGGCTGCACCTAAAGGTTCTTCAGAAGAGCAGTTACAGGATTTTGATAGAGGCTTATACAGGACTGTTGCTTACGAGCTGGATTGATATTAGGAGTAATAGAGGAGGATGGACGCATGCGGTCGCGTATGTTGTCTTTGGAGCGCTGTGATGCATGCTTATAAAGTAAACAAACTTTTAAAGACCATTAAATATCTACATCAAATTTCTTTAGCTCTTTTAAAACTCCTCCTCTCTATTTCATTTCAAATCTCCATCACAACCCCAAAACCCAGTCTAAAAACAACTCTCCACCCCAACCCCCAAACCCTAATCCTAATATCCTCCATTCCCTTCCCCCTCCACCCACCCCCAACCATCCCTTCCTCCTTCTCTCACCTTCCACCCTATTCTTCACCAACCTCGCCAAATTACTTCATTCTTGTTCTCTCCCTTCATTACAATGGCATCAATAATAATCCAAATATGGTTATTGAACTTAGATTTTTGTGCTAGAATGGGTCAAGTTCAGTTATATAGCATTTATTAAGAAGTTATTTGCGTACTGAAGTAAGTTCAAGGGAGCATTGGAAAATCTGCATAAATTTGATTGTTGATAGTCTGTCTAAATTTGGTATTTATTTTGGAGATATTAGTTTTATAAAGGTTAAGTCCTGAATTAACAAAAAGTTTGAAAGAAACAAGAATGCTCCTTTTAAAACAATTATTGTCTGGGCAAAGATAAATATTATAGTCGATATTATTTTCTGGATGGGAAGAGTAATTTTAGAAATTACAAAATTTAATTTTAGATAGATTTGTTTAATATACTGCAAACTCAACAATTTTATACACATTACGAAAGTATTACTGTTATTCATAAACATTCCATTCATAAAAAGCTACCAATTTGACTCTAATCATCCCCATTTCTAAAATTCTCAAGTCTACATAGAGACTTGGCTTGAAACTCCAGAGCTAGACCAGTCTGAACAAGAGGAAGAAAGAAGAGAGAAGAAAGAGCAAGAAGTGAAGAAGGAACAGGAAGATTATGAGACTGAAGAAGTAGAGAGTGTGAATGAGGGGAGAAGGAAGAGATAGAGGATGAGGATGAGGAGCAGAAGGTTTTATTAGAGCAGAATGAGGGAGTGGTGGTTAGGAGGATGTATCAGCCTATGATGTTGCTCAGGAAGTTTATTTTTGTGATGTTTATTATGGAGCTTCCTGCTTCGAAGCTTACTGTTTTATGGAGTTTATTTGTTGTGCAAATCTTTTTCTGTGCAGTATTTTTAATGATCAAGACGTTTAAAATGTTGAGATTTGAGTGGAATGTGCAATTTTCAAGTGAAGTATTCTTTACCTTCATAATATTGTTTTTCTTGACTCATTCAAAAGCAAAGGATTGGAAACTTGATTGTAAGAATTTTTTATCAAATTTTAGCTGAAAACCAGACTCCAAAGTTTATGATAATTGGATTCCTCATTTTCAATTTGGCGTTCATAATAGTTTTGCAATCAGTAAGTCTCATTTTTTAATAAATAGCTCAACATTATTTCATTGCTCTGGGTTCGTGTCAAACAATTAAAGACAAGATTAGGGATAGGCAGGTTAAATGAAACAGTTTTAGGTGAGTTTACGGTATAATTTCTTTAGAAGGCTCACCAGAAACTGCTTCTAATGGAGGTAGAACAGAAGATAAATATCTGAGAACCCAGGATAGCACTGGGGAAATGATAAGAGATCCAACATCATATTTCCCACACCGAGGTTAGATTTACTAGTAATTCTGCTAGATCGATTATTCAAACAAAGCAATGAAGATTCAGAATCCAATAATCCAAACCAGTTGGATCAATCTTCAAGTATCGAACAAACAGTATCTGTAAGCTTCTAAATTCTTATATTTTAGATCAATGAAGGTAGGGGAGAAAACCCAATGGGGCCAGATCGTTTTGAGACTGAAGGAAATTTGCTTGCCGAGGTGGAATCAAAAGGTACATTTCAATCGAAAACCTAAAACTCTCAATTTTATCTTAAATTCATCAACATATAAACATAGGTTGCAAAACTATTGATCTACATTTGAAAGATGCTTCTTTGCTTTATGATCCTCAAATAAAAGGGAAAGAAGGTTTCAAAGGAAAAGAAATGACAGATATTCAAAAAAAAATTATGGCAACCGATAAAACTCAATTTGAAGAGAATTCTAATGAAGAAGACAAAGAGGATAGGCATGGTCAGAGCTTATTTATTCAGGAAAATGAAGAATCATTAGAAATGCAAAGTAAATCCTGGTTGGCATACATTATTCATCATTTTGATATGTTATTACTTTACTTTGTTATTCATAAAAAGCAAAATTTTAAGCATTGATTGATTATATCGCAAATATGTTAAATTTTAATAGATATGACTCAAAAAGCAGCTCTCACTGATAGAGAACCCATAAACCAACACAATAGTTCCATTGAGCACAGATTAAGGTATATCCCTCACTAAACTCTTTAGCTCTATCCAAGACACCACTCAAAATACAAAAATCATCCCAGACGACACATCCGAGCCCCTCTCCCTCTCCAATGTTATCCTCTGTCGCTCTTCCCAACCTCCCGGCTACTACCTCAACAAAATCCAACAGAGGCCCAATAAATAACCCATTCTGCTAACCCCTTTATCCAATCCCCTCCCTCTTCACCCAAAAATCCCATATTTTCTTCTATATTCCCAAATTTTCTTCCTGGTTCTATATTTTTGACTGGGTCAAAAAATTTGTTAGGGATTTTAAGGTTTCAGTTAGGAGATTGTAGCTTGGGGTTTTGGGGTTTTGGGGTTTTGGGGTTTTGGGG